GTTTTCTATGTACACTATCATGTCATCTGCAAACAATGAGAGTTTTACTTCCTCCTTTCCTATTTGGATGGCTTTTATTTCTTTTTCTTATCTGACCGCTGTGGCTAGGACTTCAAATACGATGTTGAAAAGAAGTGGTGAGAGCGGACATCCTTGTCGTGTTCCCGATCTTAGTGGGAAAGCTTTTAGTTTTTGCCTGTTGAGTATGATGTTGGCTGTAGGTTTTTCATATATGGCCTTTATTACGTTGAGGAATGCCCCATTTATTCCTATTTTGCTGAGTGTTTTGATCATAAATGGGTGCTGTACCTTATCAAATGCTTTTTCTGCGTCTATCGAGATGATCATGTGGTTGTGGTCTTTTCTTTTGTTTATGTGAGGTATTACATTTATTGACTTGTGTATATTGAACCATCCCTGCATCCCTGGGATGAATCCCACTTGACCATGGTGGATAATCTTTTTCATGTATTGCTGGATGTGGTTTGCCAATATTTTGTTGAGGATTTTAGCATCTACGTTCATCAGAGAAATTGGCCTGTAGTTTTCTTTCTTTGTAGGGTCTTTATCTGGTTTTGGGATTAGGGTGATGCTGGCCTCATAGAAGGAGTCTGGGAGTCTTCCCTCCTATTGGATATTTTGTAATAGTCTGAGAAGGACAGGGGTTAGCTCTTCCTTAAATGTTTTGTAAAATTATTCTGTGAAACCGTCTGGCCCAGGGCTTTTGCAGGCTGGGAGTTTCTCGATTACTGCTTCAATTTCCCCAGTTATTGGTCTGTTCAAGCTTTCTGTTTCTTCCTCCTTCAGTGTTGGAAGATTATACTTTTCTAGAAATTTGTCCATTTCATCGAGGTTTTCAAATTTCTTGGCATATAATTGTTCATAGTAGTTTCTGATGATCCTTTGTATTTCTACGGTATCTGTTGTTATTTCTCCTCTTTCATTTCTGATATTATTAATTTGGGTCCTCTCCCTTTTTGTCTTGATGAGTCTGCTTAAAGGCTTGTCGATTTTATTTATCTTTTCAAAGAACCAGCTTCTGGCTTAGTTGATGCTTTGAATTGTTCTTTTTGTCTCTGTGTCATTCAGTTCTGCTCTAATCTTGACTATTTCCTTCCTTCTACTTGCTCTGGGATTTATTTGTTGTTGTTTCTCCAGTTCTTAAAGTTGTAGTGTTAGGTCTTTTATTTGAAATGTTTCTATCTGTTTTAGGTAAGGCTGTATTGCTCTGAACTTCCCTCTCAGGACTGCCTTTGCTGTGTCCCATAGGTTTTGGACTGTTGTATGTTTATTTTCATTTGTTTCCAGAAATTTTTTGATTTCTTCTCTTATCTCATTATTGACCCATTCATTGTTCAATAGTCTACTGTTCAGTCTCCATGAGTTTGCAAGTTTTTGAAGTTTCTCTTTGAGGTTGATTTCCAGTTTCAAGCCCTTGTGGTCCAAGAAAAAGTTTGGTATTATTTCAATTTTCCTGAATTTTCTGAGCTTTGATTTGTGTCCTATCATGAGGTCTATCTTTGAAAAACTGCCATGAGCATTTGAAAAGAATGTGTATTTTGCTGCTTTGGGATGTAAGTTCTATATATGGCAGTTAAGTCTATTTGATTCAGTGCGTCATTCAGCTCCACAATATCCTTATTGATATTTTGTTTGGAAGATCTGTCCATTTTTGACAGTGGGGTGTTGAAATCCCCTACTATCAGTGTGTTGCTGTCTATATCTTTTTGAAGTTGTCCAACAATTTCCTTATATACTTGGGGGCTCCTGTATTGGGAGCATATAAGTTTACAATGTTTATGTCTTCTTGATAGATTCTTACTTTAAGTATTATAAAGTGCCCCTCTGGGTCTCTTTTTATGGCCTTTGTTTTGAAATCTATTTTGTCTTATGTAAGTATTGCTACCCCTGCTTTCTTCTCCTGCCCATTTGCCTGGAATATACTTTTCCATCCCTTTATTTTCAATCTGTGGAGGTCTTTTGCTCTGAAGTGAGTCTCTTGTAGGCAGCATATGTGTGGGTCATATTTTCTTATCCATTCAGCTACCCTGTGTCTTTTGATTGGGGCATTTAGTCCATTTACATTGAGAGTTATTACTAATAGAACCTATTCATTTTTTCTCTTTGTACCTGTGTTTTTCTCTTTCTCACTCTTTTCCTTCATCCTCTTAAACCAGTCCCCTTAGTATATCTTGGAGTGCTGGTTTCGTAGAGATGTATTCTTTTAGCCTTCTTTTGTCTGGGAAACTTCTTATTTCCCCTTCTATTTTAATTGAGAGCCTTGCTGAGTAGAGCATCCATGGTTGTAGGCCCTTGCTTTTCATGACTTGGAATATTTGTTGCCATTCCCTTCTGGCTTGTAGTGTTTCTGTTGAGAAGTCAGCTCCTAGGCATATTGGGGCCCCCTTGTATGTTACTTTCTCCTTCTCCCTTGCTGCCTTGGGATTCTCTCTTTGTCTTTGATAGTTGCCATTTTAATGATGATGTGTCTTGGAGTGGGCCTCCTTGGGTCCCTCTTCAGTGGGTCCCTCTGTGCCTCCTGGATCCATGAGACCTTTTCTCTTCTCAAATTGGGGAAATTTTCCATCATTACTTTTTCAAAGAGGTTCTCTATCCCTTGCTTCTCTTCTTCTCCTTTGGTACCCCTATTATGCAGATATTATTGCGTTTCAGGTTGTCCTGCATTTCCCTCAATGCCTCTTCATTCTTTCTGAGTCTTTTTTCCATTTCTTGTTCTTTCTGGGAGCTTTTTTCTACCTTGTCCTCTGTCTCACTGATTGAATCCTCCACTTCATCCAGCCTGCTTTTGATTCCTTCTACTGTGTTCTTCAATTCAGAAATGGTATTCTTCATATCCTCTTGTGTCTTCTTGATAGTTTCTATGTCCTTTTCCAGGTTGATGTAGTTTGCTCTAAGATCCTGATAGTTTCTCTGTAGTTTCTCATAGTTCTCTTTGAGCTGGCTGAGCTCATTGAGCTTCCTTAGAACCATTGTTTTGAATTCCATATCTGATAGTTCCCTTGCCTCTATTTCATTTAGTTCTCTCTGTGGGTATTCCCCCTTTCCACTCATTTGGGGGGAACTTCTTTTTCTTCCCATTTTTGTGAGAGTCTATTAAGTAATTAATTTATTTTTGCTTCTGCTTCAATTGATCCGTCTAGATTTCCTGACTTTGTGGATTAAACTTCTATGGTAGTAGGCGGGTCTTTTTATTTATTTATTTATTTATTTATTTATTTATTTATTTATTTCCTTTACTTTTCTTTCTGGGCCTGCCTCTGATGATGTGAGTTGTTGACCCTATATGACCTTGGGTTGTTTGTTTGCGACTTCTAGGAGTCTACTGTCTGTGTCTGACTCCTGCTTTGAGTAGCTCTGGACTCCTTCTGCCAGGGATCCACTATTTCTCTGGATCGCTCTGCACTCTCACGCTGGCTCCTTGACTGCACTCCCTGGCCTGGCAGGATCCCCCACCCACCTGGGCTCGCGCGTGCTTGCCCCAGCTCAGCGGACTTCTTAACGACCTCGTGTACTCATCTGGCCCTCCAGGCTGGCGGGCACCCTGGCACTGGTCAGTTTAGGGTCTTCTATTGTGTGCTTTCCCTGCTTTTGGCTCTTTGGGTGCATTGCCTGCCCTCGCCAAATAGAGACTAAGGAAATGGGAGAGTCAGCTCCAGGACTCTCCGGTTAATCCTGTCTCCGGTCTCTTCTCCAGGGACTCTGGGCAGCTCTCTGACCCCTTTGGCTAGGGATCCACTATATCAGCGGACCACTCTGCACTCGGGCCAGCGCAGATCGGTTTACACCTGTCCCCACCGATCTGCGAACTCCCTCGCAGGCCCCGTCCGCGCCAACCTGCGGGAGTCCTCGCCAGCCCGCGTGGGTCCACACACACTCGCCAACCCTCGCCGGCGACTCAGTGCGAGTGTGCACACCTGCACTCGGTGGTTTTGGGCTGTCTATTGTGTGCTTTTCAGCTTTTGGCTCTTTGAGGGTGTGGCCTGTTCCCACGCAGTGGCTACTACGGAAAGGAGGAGTCCAGACTCCCTGGTTCCTCCTCCCGTTCTTTCCCCAACGCCTCTGTCTCCAGTCTCTCCGCAGGGGTCTGGGCAGTTCTGTGACCCCTTGGGCCAGGGATCCACTATTTCTGTGGACCACATTGTAATTGTGGGCCATCTGGCTCATCGGTGCCCTGCTTCTGCCTCTTTGGGGGTGCTTTCTTCAGCACAAAATGGAGACTACCGAATGGGGAGGGAGTCAGGACTCCCCAGTTCCTCCTCCCATTCTTTCCCCAATGCCTCTGTCTCTAGTCTCTCCTCAAGGCTCTCTATGCAGCTGTGTGACCCCTTTGGCCAGGAATCCATTATTTCTTCCAGCTTGTCTGCACTTAGCCCCCCAGCTCACACGCACACAAGCTGTGTGTGGAGTGCACAAAAAGCACCATGTAATTAATTTTTGACATAGATTTAAAATGTATTAAGGGAGGGATCTTTTTTATAACATATATTTTCTTTACTTCCCTCCCAACCCCATCCAGTTGCCAAATACAGGCCCTTTGGGGAGAAGAGTCTCAATGAACCTGAGTAAAAGTTCTAGTCAATCTGTGATAACCCACACACTCACATGTACCACTATATATTGAACACATTTTTCTTGTTGGTATTCATATTGTGTATTATTTTTTAAAAATATTTTATTTATTATTTTTAGATAGAGGGGGAGGGAGGGAGAAAGAGAGGGAGAGAAGCATAAATGTGTGGTTGCTTCTCATGCACCCCCTCACCCTTGCCCCACTAGGGACCTAGCCTGCAACCCACGCATGTGCCCTGATGGGGAGTCGAACTGGTGACCCTTTGGTTCACAGGCTGGTGCTCAATCCACTGAGCCTCACCAGCCAGGGTTGTGTATTTGTTTTGACAGCTCCCTGATGGTGTGTGTGTCTCACCTGAGCCAAAAAAAGAAAGCCTGCATAAAGTAAGGATGTCCATGCGCTGCCACACTCACCTCAACAATGTTCTTTATCCACTCTGTATCTACTTCTAATTTCTTCTTATGATGAACAACACGATGAGATTTTTTGCCTTCTTCTATCTCAGACTCCTCGATTTGTAGTGATTGATTCCATAAACACAATGAGTAAGTATGTGTCTCTGGAGTCTTGGGATTGAGTAAGTCTTTGGTAGAAAAGAAAAAGAAAACAGATTTATTTCTCTGAAGGTACCAAAGAGAGTTTGCGGGTTTGGGACATGGGCCATATTTCTACAAGTAAAGAAGGCTGACAGGAAAGAGCAAGTCCTTGGAGGATGAGGTTGAATTTCCAGCTCTCATTTTTGTATTCATTAATTCAACACATACTTATCAGGGGCCTATGATGTGCCAACCCAGTGGCACATCATATAGATGCCAGATACCATGGTGAAGACCAGACAGCCCGGACTTGGGAATGTGAAAGGTGACACACCAGCCCCATGCACATAACAAGCTAATTAAGTTAATTGAAAAAAAAAAGACTGAAGTGGGGAGTCACTAAAAAATAAATCATGCCTTGACTATATTATTTGAACTTAAAACATACATGTCTATTAACGCACCCCCTTAAATGTAGGGCAAGTCTTTCCTTTGTGTGTGGGCTTGATGATGGGCTCTGTGATCATTTTTGTTCAAATCACATTCATAATTTATTATCTATAATTTTCAGTTTTGGCAATTTTTAAATAGTTTGAGTATAGAATTATAGTTAAAAATTTCTATATATCCCCTGATCTTTTAAGTATGTTTGGTGCTCATCTAGTTGCAAGCACTTTTTTTAAAAAAAGCTATTTTCTTATTGGGTCTTCTTCAAGCATTCAAAGCATCATTTAAATTCATGAAGCATTAGTTTTCTTAGCAACAACAAGTTTCTTTTTATTTTCATTTTTGTCTACTTTTTTTTTTTAAAACTGAAAACTGGAACTAAACTAAGGACAACTGAAGGACAATCCTCGCTCCAGGTGACCCTGGGTAGATGTCTGACAACCTCTGGGAACAGCAGTGGCCAGAGCACTGGGGCAGCGCTTCTAGCACCCCATCAGCTGGGAAGCTGTTCACTGGAAGGGGTGACCCTGGTTCCCTGGTAATTAGATTAAGAGGGGGTTGGTTAGGAGAGCTTCGTTATCCCTTGGGGTCAGCACAGTGTTGGAGGAGGTCATCGAGAGGACATGACTGCTGGCTGACCTGGGAGCTGGACCAGGGCGATCAGAGGACCATCCTCTCCTCTCCTTGCAATGTATTCTCTGGCCACTGTTCCCACAGTTGGCACTGGTTTCAAGGATGCAGCCTTGAGAGAGCAATGTGCTGTCAGAACATCTGCGTGGAATAGTGACTGAATCCACATAAGGCCTTTATATAAACTTTAAGATTCTCTGGGTAGATGCAGAAATCCAATTGACTTACTGCCGCCTAATACAAGCTTTGTAAGTCTGTTCTCTCGCTTATTCAATCTGCCATCTAGCAATCCAAAGTGGCCTGCCTTTTTCTTTAGTCTCCTCTTGCCTTCTGTGTACTGGGACCAGTTTCTAATTTCACCTGTGAAGCTCCCAAGTGTGCAAACCAACACAAAGGATGCCAGGAGAGCTCCCCAGAGGGAAATGTACCAGGCCTTGACTTCTGGTAAAAGCTATGTCTCTAGTGGGGGAAGGGGAATTCCCAGCATTAGTACTGTATGGTGGCAGGTTAGAGTGGGAAGGAGTAAGTGGTGACTGATGATTCAGGAGAGGCAGGCAGGCCTTTATTCACTCACTCAATGAAGATCTGTTGTGCACCTGTGTGTCAAGAACTGCCCTAGTGTTAGGGATGCCACAGTCCCTGCTGTCCATGCTAGCAGGGGAGACAGATGCTAAATAAGTGAACAGAAAAAATATAATATGCCACCCTGGCCAGTGTGGCTCAGTTGTTTAGAGCATTGTCCTGTAAACTGAAAGGTCATGGTTTCCCATGCCTAGGTTGTGGGTTCAGTCCCCGGTGGAGTGCATATGAGAGGCAACCCATCAATGCCTCTTTCTCACATTGATGTTTCTCTCTCTCTCTCCCCCCGACCCCTTCCCGCTCTCTCTAAAATCAATAAGCATGTCCTCAGGTAAGGATAAAAAAACACACACACACAAAACACATAGCTAGGAATGTTCCAAAGTAAAATTAGCAGGGCAAGATGGATGGAAAATGATGTGAGTGTGTGAGTGTGTATGTGCGCACAGGCTGGTTTTTATCAGGTTGCCAAGGAACTTATTTCTGAGGTGACATTTAAGCAGATAGAGTGGACACAGGAACATTGGAGTAAAGAGTGCTCTGGGCAGAGGATCAGCAAGTACAAAGGCCCTGTGGCTGGGCTGCTTGGCCCATTCGATGACTAACAAAAAGTCCTTGTGTCTGGAGAGGAAAAGTGAGGGCATTCTAAGCCACATGAAGAATGTGGGCATTGTCCTAGAGGTAATGGAAGGCCATTGAGGAGTTTTTAAAAGATTATGCTGAAAACAATGTGAAGAAAGGACTGAGACAGGAGAAGGTGGGAGTCAGGGAGACCAGGGAGATTTTCCAGGGGAGCGATGCGGGTGTCTGAGGTAGCAACCGTGAGAATGGAGACAGTGTTGGGTGGGGTGTGGGGGGAGAATCAAGGGCCACAGAATATCTGAGGAACTCAAGAGGCCACTAATTAGAGATCAGAGAGAGAGAGAGAGAGAGATCTTTCCACAGGAGAATAAGGAGAGAGGAGTGGGCAGGGCAAGGTCACTTGGAGACCTTTGTAAGAAGTTTGCAGTTGGGTCTCAGTCTCCCTGTGAGGAGCACTTTCTTCACTGTTTGCTGATAGAATTGTAATGATCCTCAGAGTGTAAAAGCTGAAGTAAGCCCAGCTACTCTTCCTGAGTATCAGTTAGAAATTAATAGAAAGCACTTCTAAAATGGTAATGATAAAAAAGGACATTTATATACTCATTTTTTCCCTGTCAGAATGCTAAAATCATGAACATTCTTGTTTGTGCTATCTTCCCAGCTCTGCCTTTATTAGGTAAAGCTTTAGGACACTTTTCTGAGCCTCTGTTCCCTTAAAATGGTAAAGTGCTGCCTACAGTGACCTGTGGGGTTTCTGTGAAATAATGCCTGCACTGTGCCTGCCTCCTACTTGTGTCCTCCGCACAGGGAACTTTGAATTTGATTGTTCATGATTCAACCTGTTTAATGTTCTCCCACTTCCCATCAGACTAGATAGCTCTAATAGGAAAGGCTACATAATTTGAAGGGCCTTATGTACAGTGAAAATGTAAAGATCCTTGTTCTAAATTAAAAGAAGTTAAGATGGTGACAGCAGAGCCTTATACGTGTGAGGCCCTGTGTGACTGCAAAGATCGCATATCCCTGAACACAGCCTTAACTTGAAAATCGGTGTTTAGGGATATGGGGCTGTGTGCCTGGAATATGGAATAATGGGCTGGATACTGGAAGTCAATGAGTTTGCATCTCAAAGGAGATTGGGAGATTTCTTTGGGACTGGTTGCAACCAGAACATGGCAGGGATACCTCTTATCAATTAAAAATGTTGCTTTTCTGTATAAAAAGCTCAAACATTCTAGGCTTTAGCTGTCCAGAGAAGCAGGGAGTGGGCAGAGGTGCTAGTGAGGCTCTATGGGGAATGTGGTCATTTGTATTATATCAAATTTCAGTCCCCAGTTGGAAGTCCTACCCTGCATGTGTGACAACAGAATATCCTGAAATGCCTTACAGTTCCAAAAGGAGCACGAAATCCCAGAAGCCTGCATTCATTCAAGAAACACTTACTGAGTGACAATTGTGTGCTTTGCCAAGGTGCCAAGGAATGAAAGACACAGGTATCCATGGTCCAGAAGGCATAGAAGTATAAAGAACATACAGGTATAGCACACTAAGTGTACTAGACATTTGTTACGTTCTTGGCTGCTGAACATTTGAATCCCTGCCTTGTTTGGGGGTACCCCATTGTGTGAATCTTGGTGGGAAGCAGGGCCCTCCCACTGTAGAAATTGAATGAAGGTGGTGATTCCTTCTTCTCCCTGCTTCTTAACTCCACTGAGGAGACATAAAACCTAGACTTAGAGGGTCCCTGCTTTTTCTTTTTGAGACACATTGAACACTCCAAGAGGATAAGCCTTGGGTTTGGCTTGAGAGGTTTTGGACAAGTGTGTCTCATGTTTACACAATGACTGGGTGATCTCAGGCAAGTCATTTAGCCTCTTTGAGTCTTACTTTCTTTATGCTACTTCACATGGTTGTGAGAATTAATTTGAATCAAATAGCCTATGTGAAAGTGTCTAGCCCATAGCAATTATTCTGTAAGAGTTAGGTCAGGGGCCTAAACTGGTATTGGGGGACAGGAGTACTTCCTTTAGAGAGAATCTGGGGCTATGTCCTGGCTTTCAAGAAAAAGACTATGAGTAGTTATGTCTGCCATTGTTATCATTGCCATTTCTATGATAGTTGGATTTAGTAATCGGAAAGATACTTCATATCATGGTTTTGAGTTTCTGAATTAAGTAGCTTGATAGCTTAGGCCCTTGGTTCAGGCTTTCTATGATGAGGCCCCCAAAAACTGGCAAAGCTTAATGATTGGTGTTGGGAAATGCCCTGTCTGGTTTCAGGAACTGTAACCCCACTGACAGGCTAGAGGGCCCCAAGGCTGGAAATAATCAGGAGGCCTTAGAGAAACAGGCTCCTGAGGAGACATAACCTGTCCCCCCTGGCAGGACCCCTGCCTCTCTGCTTTGCCATGGATGACTGCTTATCAAAGATGGGTCAGTTACCTTGAGCTGAGGTATACAACCTAAGACAGATGAGGATTGAATATTGACAGCAGACAAGAAATTGGGGGACCTGGAGAAAGGGCAAAAAGGTCGGCACCCTTCGGCTTGGTTTGGACATGGCTGGAGTCCTCATTCTATGTGAAAGAAGTCTCATTGTCTCTTGGCGGCTCCCTCCCCTCACCTGGCTGATGCTCAGAACAATACTGGAATCAGTCCTAAACCAGATCTGGCGGTTCCCGGGGAAATCAGGCCTACAAGTAAATTCTTTAAAGTATGCTTTGTTCTTCCCTCAAAAGCTCTAGCTAGCTCAGACTGGGAAGGAAATTTACATTATTCACAGACCCTAACCCTATATCCTTGGGCACTCTTATGTTTACTACACTCTCATGTTTAGTTGTCTTTCTTGTTTACTAGTCTCCTCTTGGACCCATGTAAACTGGTGTGTTCCTGCCATTTGTTTTCTTCAAAACATCATCCATTCTCTGTGAACATGAACATACTGATGTAATGAGATAACCTGTGCATTCCTGTTACCTAGCCAAACTGATACCCTTTTCAACAAAAGCCTTTGAACAAAGGGACTTGGGGCCTTCCCCACTAGAGGGATGTGCCACGTCCCATCTCGGCTGACCCCGGCGATGACTTGTGTTTATCCCCCTCATCTGTGACAATCCCAGGATGGGCTCTGTGGGATTCAGAGCTCTATTCCCATCTCAGCTGGCCCCCGACATTATCCCTCAGATCCCAGGAGTGCTGCATTCCCTGTGACGTGCTCTGTCTGCCCCCAACATGGCAGTTGCTGCCTGGGCCTGGACTAACGGTGACTCATGTGGTGCTCCCTGCAGTGGCGCACCCGCTACTTGCCGCCACTCAGCCCAACAATTGGCATATATTAATAGTTGGACCTCAGATGTCTTCAGTATATGGTAAAGGGGTTCTTTCTTTTCCAGAATTTGTTAATAATGACTTTTTGGAGTTTCCCAAATCTAGGTTAGATTTCTTTCTGTGTGGTCCCATAGCATCCCCTTCCCACCCTATCACTTAAGCATTCTGTAGGCCAATTCCCTGATTTCTTGTCACCATTCCTACCCACCTACCCTGCCATCACCAAAGCATAATCCCATTGAGATCCCTGACTCAATCTTATTCTATATTATTCCATATTTTGTCCCTGGCAGCTAGGACCTTACTAGACCAGTAGGTGTTCAAGTGAGAGAGTGAGCATTTCTGCCTCCTATTCAGACATGGCAGGAGGTGAGAGGCCGAGTGAGGCACACAGAGGAGAGCCAGTTATGGATAGCAGATAATAAAGTGGTTCTTACCTTCACGTTTCTTCATAATCCATTGAATTTTCCCCTTGTAGTCTTCAAAATTTGTCTTCAACCTGAAAGGAATGTGAATTATTTTTAAAAGCTGAGATTAAATTCATGTTTATATGTCACGCTACACAATGGAGACAGTGCTAGAACCTGCTAAGTCCCTTTTTGTTACAGGTGGAAATTTGAGCCAATGGCTCTTTCAGATCCAGCTTTTCTTCCAGTCAGAGCTCAGGAATAAAGTGACAGCACAAGGTGTTGACTCGGTGCTTCCCTCTGGGCCTCCAACTGGCGTTCAACCCGGGTACCTGGGCTGACCTCCAATTTTTTTAATGCATTTTAAAAAGATTTTATTTTTATTTATTTTAGAGAGAAGGGAAAGGAAGGAGAAAGAGAAGAAACCATCAATGTGTGGTTGCCTCTCATGTGCTCCCTACTGGGGACCTGGCCTGCAACTCAGGCATGTGCCTTGACTGGGAATCGAACCAGTGACCCTTTGGTTCGCAGGCTAGCACTCAATCTACTGAGCCACATCAGCCAGGGAAACCCCCAAATTTAAAAAAATAAATTTAACAAGGGTTATCTTGGGGACAGGACAGAACTGAAAGGTCCCAATGCAAGGCTGGCTTTATGAGTTAAGCTCAGGCAGCTTGACCTTTTCTATGACCCTTTGTATGTATCCCAGTGAAGGTTACACTTGGAAATAGCTTGGAAAAACAGCATTGTTTGTGACTGGACAGAGCCATTTGAAACCCTTTTTCATTTAGTAGGAAATTTTTCAATAATCCCATTCAGAATGACTCACCATGAAAGCCCAACCAAGACACAGCTTTTTGAAATCCTGAAGCCCTTAATGTCCTCTCATGTCAATATACAAAGCAAGTCATCCTGGCATTTCAATGGCTTGGACTGTTGTTCTTCCAAATTAAGATGGTCTCCAGGGGGAGTTGTGTTTCCTTGTTCTCAGATCAGAGCACATTTAAACGGGAATGTGCCAGAGGGAGTGAGCTTCTCAGCTTAATTAAATCTGAGAAGAAGGCCTTTGACATGACATGTTTTAAGTTTTCAGTTCAGATTTCTTAAAGAGAGCATAATAATTCAACCCCAAGCAACTTCAGAAGCAATATTCTTTGCTGGAAGGGGCTGAACTTGTTCACCTGGCAGAGAGTCAAGGTTTACTATTTGTGCTTTAGAAAAATAATGGAACTTGAGAGTGAGCTCTTCATGGCCCATTTGTACCAAATGTTATTTGTTTTATTTCCTAGCACTTTGAATGGAAAGGAAGCAGTTACCTAACCTACCATTACCTGTGAAGGAATGAGGACAGAGGAGTGAGTGTGGTGATGCCTGTCCCACAGTTCAAGAGAGGGTGCCAAATACATGCAGGAGTGAAAAACTCCAGTGAGGGGTCCAGCCAGAGGCACCCAACGCCCTTTTGGGAAGGTTTTTCCCTTTGGTCCTTTGTCCACCTTACAAGGTGGACAAACAACAGCAGAGACTGTAGGGGTACTGTAAAGATCAGGACACAGTAAGTGCTCAGGAAATATTCGTTGAGTGAAATCAGTTTAGAATGAGACTCAGTAATAGGCTCAGATGGGAAGGAATGGAGCAGGGGGAAATATCATATATGAGGCAGAATGACTTACTGGGATGTTTTCTGGCATTTGCTTTTGCAGCTGTAGAATGATCTGAAAGCTTGGATATCTCCCTCCCTTTTCCTTTCTTAGAGAAACCTCAGGGGTCTCTGGCTCCCAGGATACTGCTGAGCCCAAAGCTGAGGTTGCCGGCAGTCAATCTCTCTTCCTGATTTCTGTGAAAGCCTCAACTCACCTAGGAGATTACGTAGGAAACACCATTCCCCACAGCCTGTTCCTTAGCACCACTGCCAGAGAGTTAGTGATAGACTCCTGGGAAGCCTCAAAACACATCTTGCTCATTAAGGTTTTTGACAGCTGGATGAATGCAAATGTAGCACAGAGTGGATGTACAAATGGGGTTTTGGAACATTTTGTGACTGGGGTCATGCTAACTAGAAAGGCTTGGTGCGAGCCACAGCCTGCAAGAACCTTATCATTCTCTACTCCAAATAGGGGCTCTGGCCATGACTCCTAGGTCAGTGAAGCTGAAGGCTTTCCTGTCCAGGAAGGATGAAAAAGCATTAGCTTAGCCTAGGCTAAGGCCAGGGAATTTCTTGAGCAGCTTCCTGGGATCTTGATTCCCTCCCTGGCTGCTCTCTCAAAAGGCCCAGGGTTCTAAGTCCTGCTCCCCAGGCCTGTTCAAGTTTGTGGTCCCTTCAAGACTTGCCCTGGATTTCCAACCTCTGTCATTGCCTGCCTTTGATCCTATCCTGGGATCTCCGATGCTTGTAGGTTTTCTCGCCCCTGTGCCTGGCTTGTGCCTACTCTTTGTCTCTGGCCGCCTGCCTGGCCCTGGCCTTGCCTTTTTCTCTGGTGGCCCAATTTACATTTTCCCTGCTGCTACCTCTGACCTACCTCTACCCACTGACCAATAGCACAATCTCTCTAGTCACTTACAGAATTCCCAGCTTCCTTCTGGTTTCGCTCTCCAGATGGCCAGTCAGGGGAATGTCAATATCCTCTTCCAGTTCATTGCGAGCCGCCCTTGCTTTGATCATGGTCCTAAATACTGAGTGATATGAACTCTTAAAAAGCTACAAAAGGATCACAGAATAAGATATCCAGAAAATGGTAATTACAGATTTACTAATTAATCACTTTCCTGACTCCCAAAGGTGCCAGGTGAGATTTCAACATATTATTCAAGAGCCACAAATAGTGGGAACAGTAGGGTGGCTAGCAAGATTTGCCTTTAAAGAATATTTCCATTATTATCATACCCTCTTCCCAATTTCCTCAAGATTTTTTTTTTTAACTACAGCATACCAAAAAATCTTTTGAGAGCATAAAATTGTGCTCTTTTCCAAAATGTAGAGATGGTTGTAGAAAGTAAAAATGCTTCCATGCTTTAAGAGCTTAACAGACTTTCTGAGTTCCTGGAATGGCCAGCCTCCTGGCGGTCACTCATTTATTCAGTGTGAAGAATGACTATGCTCAGGACAGCAGTGCAGCACCTGCATGAATTCTTTTTTGGCTGGTACAGCCTAGTGGCTTTAATTTCCTGTGTGAGACCTCTAAGACAACTCCATTTTTAAAGATTCTTCCAAAGTAATGACATTGCAAGCTCAATTTTTTATTTTATAAAGTTGATTGTTCTAGTCCAAGTCCATGATGCTAACCACGACTGACCCATAGGTGGATCCTCCCCAGAGTTTCTTTTTTTGGGTCCCTTTCAATAGAAGATGGAAGTTGGCTTGCTATTGAGGAAACCCATGGGTCTGTCATGTTTCCCTGCATACCTACAAGCTGAGGTTGTCATCATTGTTGTTCAACATGTGATAATCTATTGCATACCATTAATGTATTGGTTTTTAATAGCCAGCTGAAGACCAACATATTTAGAGTTGCATGTAACCTAGGACAGATATAAGAAGAAACTGTGTTTGGCTAGCTTTTCTAGGTTGTGGAGAAAATAGGGATGTCTCAGGTCTAGCTTACTTGGTTCCCAGCCTCTTCCCTGCTTCTTCGCCCATTGCTGATGTTAAATTAATTAAACAAAGAGGTTATTATGCTAGGGTAACTCTAAGGCTGTGGTGGCCTACTTAAATCTAAGCCTGTCAATGCCTCAATGTTACAAAATCAAAACCTAAGGACAACAAATCACAAGCAGCCAGCTTTTGATTTGATGATGACCAGTTCCAATCGATTCATGTTCAAATAAACTCTTAAAATGTTTAATATACCTCAGTTTATCTTTTAACACTGGAATCAGTGTTTCAGGCCAGGCTGAGTTAAGGTCTGTGATGTCTTGTCTCAAAATTCCTCATTATTGACAATCCCGTTCTTGGGTTTCCTATTTGCCTAGGGCAGTGATGTCTCACCATCCTCTTTGGATTCTGTTTTGTTCTGCAGAAAATGCAGTGCCTACTGTAGTCCACCAGACAACAGACCCACTGTGTAGGCTGAGTTGAAGTTCCTGTCCCATCTAGGCTGTGCCACTCCACTTGATTTAGCCAGCACATACAACACCTTATGAGGTTGGCCTCATTTGCTTCCCCAAACTATGGAGTAGAACTATCCTCATTGTCATAGTACATATATTGAGCCTCACGGCCAGAGACTCCTCCTAGGTGAATCTCTGGTTCTTGTACCGAAAAGAGTTTGCATAGCAGAGTTTGTGATGCATGGGTTTATAACAGAAATAAAACAAGCAAAATGAACTAAAAAGAACAAAGGAATTGAATTGTCCCAATAACCTAAATATCGCTTGAGAGCTCCAGTCCAAATGGAAGGACTTGACTTCCCATTCCCTAGTTTGTATCCCAGTGGTTTTTGGTATTTCCCCCAAAGGTGCCGGAGAAGTCTTTCAGCTGTAGGTAGCCTGTGGCATTCATTCCATTTGTCCTGTCCTGTTCTGGCCCCACTTGTCCACATCTGCTGCTGATGACCTAGCTTGGAGAAGTACTGCGTTGCTTAGCTGTGCAGCCGTCTATCACGAGAATGCCAGTATCTGGGACATGAGTGCTGTATTCTTCTAAGCTCCTGCTCTTTGGGGGCAGAATGGTACAGACAGCAAGGGGGATGTATCTATGCATACTTTGTCCACAGGTCAAAGCCCCTGAGATGACAAGGCAAGGTGCTTGCGATTGGAGCTTGCCTGCACAGCCCACCTGTCCCAGGGACCATCCTCAAGTGTCATGCTTATCCAGAAGCTTGCACAGCTGCATGGGAAATGTCTCACTTCTGTCTGTGACCACAGCTCTGACCAATACAGGAAAACCTCAGCTGACAGGCACGCTAAAGGTTTCTGAATAATTCAAGTTTCTAATTAAAACAATTCCTTTAAATTTCAACTCTTGCTAAAAAATCTCTCTAAAATGCCCGAGTTTACTTTCCTATCTTAGTAAATCCAGTGCAGTGAATCTAAGCTCAAGCAATCTTTTTTCTTCCTTGGGTGTGGTATTTCGTTATTTGAAAAGCAATTCTTACTAATATACAAGGAGGGGCAAAAGCAGGTTTACAGAAACACAGTTTATTTTGTTATTATTATTTATTAATTATTGTATTATTTTCTATATAAACAAAAGTAAACATACACCTGCCACACCCTGCAATATGTATAGATGCAAGTGTGGAAAGTAAGGAATTTAGGGCTAAATATGAGCTGAGACCAGAAAATTTCCCAATTAAAAAAAAAGACAAAAAAAATACATAGTGGGGTGTTTTTTTGCCTTTTTTTTTTTTTGTTAAGGTTAGAAAAATATATCTGCTTTATATTGAGTTCAGGGATACACGATTTCTGTCTTATGATTGTAGTTAGTACCTACAGACCTGAGAAAGTTTCTTAGCCATAGTAGGGAGGATGCATAATAATGCTTCCACCTGGATCAACATGTGTTGTAAGTCTTAGCGGTCTGACACAGGAAATTAGAGCCACTAGGCTGTACCAGCAGGAAAAGAATTCATGCAGTAAAGACAACACCACACACCACAGATGTGAGGTTTATTCAGACTATTGTGACTTCCCATCTCATCTCTGATTACTGGTACAGCTGGAGAAAGGATATCTCTCCAGGGACAGTTCTGGGCCCCTCGAAAGGGTGGTATTAGCAGGACTGCAGATCTGGGGAGATGGTTCATTGCTACTTGTTGTGGTGTTTGCTTGTAGAGGCAGTTGTGTGAAGTTTCTATGTTGCTAGGCTGCCTCATTCCTGGTCCTTTGCTTAGAGATAACTGGCTTTTCTTGGTGGTTTTGTTGTTTGTGCTTGTTGGGGTTTCTGGGTTGCTGTCTTTTCTAGCATTCAGTCAGGGACATAAGGAGCAAAAAGAAAACTCAGGAAACTCACTGCCGTGTTGTTCATTAAGTCTCCAGGTCCCTAGCTGGTCTGCCTTCTTTTCTCTGCCTTTCAGAAGTTTCTTATGTTTGTTTTATATATAATGTCTAGCATTTGAAGCTATACTTAGAGGGAAAAGTATATCTAGTTCATCTTTCCAGAATCTAACTTCATTTTGACATGAGGTTTCACACAGAATGATTTTCCCTGATATCTCGATACTTGCATGTTTTGTTTTGGGCTTTCTTGTTTTCAAAAGCAATCTTGAGGGTGTTTGTTCATATTGCCAGCAGGGTGCTCCAAAACCAGGGCCTTGGAGTCCCACATTTGCCTTTCTATGACTCTCTTTGATTGAATGGGTGTCATTTAAACTTATGTCTGCCATAAGAAAAGCTCATTTGGGCTGTGCTAACAACAGAGTGAAGCTATGAATTCCATAGCTCACAAGAAAGTTACCAGCTGGTCTCGGGCCACCTGTCCCAACATTTGAAGCAAGGTGGTCTTGAGTTTTTAAAAAAATCTTTCCTTTTTATTGACTTTATTGGGATGCCACTGGTTAACAAAATTATACAGGTTTCAGGTGTACAATTTAGTCTCAGGTTTTTATCTAACTTACATTGTCATTGAAGTCTTCGACTTCCAGTGTGTCTATGGGCTCATTTAAAATATCACCCCAAAAGTTCCTTTGAGAGACAGACTTCATGGCTTTCAATTTTGGAAGACACAGGAAAAGGAAAAGCATTTGTAAAAGGAACCAAAACCAAAATGAAAAAGGAAATAGGTTTATAGCACTTACTCTTGTCCTTTTAAATAAAAATGCATATATTATCTATAAGAGTTTAAATAAATTCATCAAATTTCCTAATCTTCAACTGGAGGATATTAATAAAATGGGAAGAAAAGGGTATGTTTCAGTGGGTGACTTAAGAAAGCTAGTGTGTGTTCTTGGTGGCTGGTGGAGATTCATCTGACGAAGTGACATTTGAGTGAGTCCTGAATGAAGCAAGGGGGCAAGTGGGTAAGATAGCTGGGGAAGAGCATTGCTGCCAGGAGGCGAGGAGGTGCAAATGCCCTCCGGTGAGAATGAGTGGGAGCGTGGTTGATGTATTTGACAAACTGCAGCAGAGTGAGTGTGGAGGAGGGCGGCAGGAGGGGAGACGGGGGCGGGGCAGGGCCAGCTCACCCAGGACCTTGTAGGCTGCGGGAAGAACTTTAGATTTTGTTCTCAGAGAGATTTATTCTGAGTGTAATTTTCTCTTGGAAATCGTGAGAAATATTCCTACATCCTGTCAGTTTTTTCAAAAATTGCCTATTTCTGGAATTGTATATGTTCATAATTGCAAATTAAAGGTAAAGGGCAAATTCCCAAGCCATTGAGCTATAAAGAAGTCTACTGGACATCATGAATACCTTTGTTCTCAAAGTTAGCCACCGCCTGGTCACCCTCTGGGCCAGAAAAGGGGCTTAAAGCCTCCATTGTCGAAGGGGTGGAAATTGAATCAAGGAATTGATAATTATCCGCTGCTCCTAGGACAGTGTGGATCCTGAGGCAGCTGCAAGGAAGAGCTCTCACGCAATAATTGGGCCCCTGGGGAAATTACAAGGGCCTGTCCTCTGAGCTTCAGAGTGACACTAGCCACTTCAAGCTGGGCCGTCCAGAGAGGCCTGAACATCCACCAAGTTGGCATGGGGCTGACTTATTTTGTCTGATTTTGTGTCACTATTATGTCTTTGGGGGTGGAGAAGGGACATTCTTTGTGATCTCCACACATATTTTTATAATATTTGCACTTCTTCCCAATTTTGGTTCAGTAATAAAAACTGACTCTTTTGGACTCCTGGTGGGACGGAGAATTCCACTCAGCTGGACCTGCCTGTATCCACACCAGGCTCAGGGGCCTTTCTGCCTGCAGTCCTCCTACCCAGCTTTGGTTTATTCCTGGTAGAAAACTGCCCCATCTGCAGTGCACCCCAGGCTATGAGGATCCCCCCAGCAGCTCTTTCCTGTAGATCCCCCAGGCACACTCCATTCCACTGCAGTACTGATAACTGGCCAAGGCAAGGGTCCCTGACAGCTTGTATCCAAGAACACTGTCTGAGAGAAGTTTTAAAAACCATTCATGAAAAACCAACAAGAATCCATGGGAATTCAAGCAGGCACTCAGGAAGCTCCTTTTGGTTGCATTGCTGTCATAGGAGAGGAAAGCTGAAGGACGTGGAGAGATGGCGTGGCCCTGCCTGCAGGTCTATGGACATGTGCTGCCTGAGACTGAGAACAGGAGTCTGGCTCTAGCCCTGAGAGTTTAGCAAATTTCCGCCATTTGTGACTGCCCTATTTTAACTGGCATTATTGAATTATAGTTAACTTGAGGGGGAAAAAAGTAGGCGTTTATCAAGGGACGACGGTGACTGCTAGGGAAGAAGGTGAATTAGCAGTCTGGAATACTGAACAGAAAGTTCGAAAGTGTCTGATTCAACGTAATAATTAACTTTATTAACATCGATGGGCACTGTCTGCCTGTCAAGATAAGTACAGTAAACACATAGTAATGCAGGCATAACTGGGTCTGAATGAGAAGGAAAAGCTTTACTCCTAATTAATTTTCCCTTTCGGGATTTCCATCAACCTCTATCTTTGTTGGAGTGAGAGAATTATCTTCTTGGGAAATGGCTCTATGGGAGGATTGGTGAGGTGGAGACAGGGAGTATCAGAGAGTACCTTTGGATACTTGAAGGAATCAATTTAAAATCATCTTGTAAATGGTTAGGGAGACCAGGGTGGAGATCACATATTTTGGGATAAGAAACTTCCATGATCTTTACCAGTTTGAAGCCTGTAGCTTAGGCCCAATAAATATTGATTCTTCTCCCTTTGTTCATATTTCATCTTGCCCACTAGAATTTAAGTTCTGAGAGGGTATGATGGGTTTTTCCATCTTTATATCCTGCTCAGTATATGGTAGGTATACAGTATACAGTAAATGTCAGTAGGTATACAGTAAATGTCACGGAATGAACCATTATCTTCCTAACCCCACTGGTAAATATTATTTCCTCCCCTTTCAAAATTCAGCTTTAATTCAAATTTAAAAGCACTTTACCCTTTGGCTCAGTTTCTTACCTGACCCTTCAGCCTTGACACCAAGCTCTAGAAATAATGCCTTGGCCACTGGCCTTAATTAGGCTGCCCTAGTCTAAAATGGTCAAAAGACTTTTATGGTATCATGGCTTATATTTAAGTCTTTTATCCATTTTTTTTTATTCTGGCCTATGATGTAAGTTGGTGGTCTAATTTCATCTTTTTGCATGTACACATCCAGTTTTCCCAACACCATTTATTGAAGAGACTATTTTTACTCCACTGTATGCTCATGTTCCCTCAGCCAAATATTTATTGCCCATAGAGACATAGATTTATTTCTGGGCTCCCTATTCTGTTCCATTGATCTATATGTCTGTTCTTAGGCCAGTACCAAACTGTTTTGATTACAGTGGCCTTGGAGTATAGTTTTATATCAGGTATTGTGATCCCTTCAAATTTATTCTTCTTTCTCAAGATTGCTGAGGCTATTCTGGGTCTTTTTTGGTTCCATATACATTTTTGGAATATTTGTTCTAGATCAGTGAAATATGCCATTGGTATTTTAAAAGGGATCGCATGATACCATAAAAGTCCTAGAAGAAAACATAGGCAGTAAAATTTCAGATATCCCACATTGCAGTATTTTTGCTGATATATCTCCTGAGGCAAGGGAAAAAAAGGAAAAAATAAACAAATGGGACTACATCAAATTAAAAAGCTTTTGCATGGTTGAAGAAACCATCATCAAAATGAAAAGGGAACTGACTGTATGGGAGAACATATTTGCCAATAATACATCGGACAAGGGTTTAATCTCCAAAATATATAAAGAAGTAATATGCCTGAATACCAGGAAGACAAACAATCCAATTAAAAAATGGGCAAAGGACCTGAATAGACATTTCTCCAAGGAAGACATACAGATGGCCCATAGACATATGAAAAGATGCTCAACATCACTAGCCATCAGAGAGATGCAAATTAAAACCACAATGAGATACTTCCTCACACCTGTCAGAATGGCTGTCATTAATAAATCAACAAACAGGTGCTGGTGAGGATGTGGAGAAAAGGGAACCCTAGTGCATTGTTTGTGAGAATGCAGACTGGTGCAGCCATTGTGGAAAACAGTATGGATTTTCCTCTAAAGACTAAAAGTGGAACTGTCTTTTGATCCAGCAATTCCACTGCTGGGAATATACTCTAAAAATCACAAACTCAAAATAACTTATGCACCCTTATGTTCATAGCAGTGCTATCTACAATAGCCAGGTGCTGGAAACAGCCTAAGTGCCCTTTTAGTGGATGAATGGATCAGAAAACTGTGGTACATTTACATAGTGGAATACTATGCAGGAGAAAGAAGGAACTCCTTCCTACCTTTTGTGACAGCATGGATGGAACTGGAGAATATTTTGCTAAGTGAAATAAGCCAGTCAGTGAAAGACAAATACCATATGATCTCCCTTACAGAGGAATCTAATGAACAAAATAAACTAATGAGCAAAACAGAACCAGAGACATAGAAACATAGAACACAGGTTGACAGCAGCCAGGTGGGGTGAGGAGGATAATGGTGTAAATAAGGGGGTGGACTAGTCAAAGAACATGTATAAATGGCACATGTACATGGGCAACAGTGTGGGGATTGGCTGTGGGAGCAGGGGGTGGGCTGGGCTGGGAAGAGAAGGGCAAAGGGGGAAAATTGGGACAGCTGTAATAGAATAACAGTATGTTTAAAAAAATGGTCAAAAGAGGACTCTCTTTGGCTGGGGGCTTGATAATTCTGTGTTTCTTACCTCCTCGTGGATAGATTGTAACTTTTGAAAGTCATTTAAAGTCATCATCAAATTATAAAATTATAATGATACCTTCTGAATCTGACTTCAAGGTGGGTAGTATTGTTGTTGAGCCTTCTTGGTCTGTTTTCTGTTTCAATTTTGAAGGTGCTGTTAAAAGACAGAAGAGGGTGGCCATTAATTATTTTAACCTTACACTTTCTGACAGGTTCATATTGGACAGTCAGGGTCTGAGGTTCTTCTTGACACCCAAGGCTGATTAATGGAGGGGAAAAGCGGGCTGGAGGGGACTGCTGGTAGACACTGGGCGCTCCCTCTATCTCTCCTCCTCTTCCCTAGGACTGCAATGAACTAGTAGTCAGGAAATGTAGCCCCTCTGTGGCCTTCTCCTCTGGTCACCATGGGGCCAGTTAGGTTCCCAAGATAGATAGCATGACTGAAGTTGAGGGGGGCTCTTTGGAGATATTCTTTCTTCTGCAGGAGGAATAGCTTTAGGACCATAGAGCCAAGTGGTTCCAAGACCATGTAGATAAATAATGGGGTATAGCTGTCACTGTAGGAAGTAGGTGGTTCTGCTGTTCTTGCTCCCCAAGAGATACATAATGGCGGCTGGCTGGGGAACATGGGGACTGTCTAGTATAGATCCATGAAGATATGCAATAGGAGGCTACTGTATTTTTTTGAGAACTTTTGTAAGTTCTTGGTGATGCTCTCTTTGTGTCTTCTGAAATTTTGTTGTCTTCACTCCTTTTTGCCTGTCTCATCCCCACCTCCCCCTCTTCCTAAACATATATGTGCACATATGTGCATGTATACATGTGTACAGGTGTGCATGCACACACTCTAGGTTCCATGCTTAATAGGAGAGAAGAGCAGGCCCAAGAGGAAAAAGCAGAGGCAAAGTGCTCCATCTGCTCATGGGAGTTTCAGGTTTTGACCTGGCCTGCCATGCCTGGACACCTCCACGGGTGTGCATTGTCATTGACTGCTAGTTCCCCCACCGAGGCCAAGCCCTCTACAAAGGAGGTCTCCAACTTTTAAGAAAACTCATTTCATTGTGGCGTGGCTCTCACTGTCAGAATTTTTTTCCTTAACATATTTCCCGGAAGCTAGTGCTATGCTAACCCTTCGATACAGATGGAGAGGTCAGGTCTTGGTTTTCTACGGGATTGTCAGGTATTTGCAGGCAGGCATGCTATCTCAGAGACACGTGTCTTTCAGACTTAATACATCCTTTGCTTTAACAGTTCTTTGTATGTCATAGTCTCCTGGTCTTCTGTAACAACACCTTCTCCTCCAAATCCCACCAGTCTGCTTCTTTCCCTCATAATGTGTGATAGTTCTTAGATGGACCAACTGTCCTTAGGCTGAGCCTCAGTGCAAACTAGAGTAGGACTAATCCCTCTGTATAGAATTTTTTAATTATATTTGCTTATATTAACTTTTCTGGCTCTCATATCAGTCATGCCATTGACTCACTGAGCTTATGGTTGACTAAAGCATTTACAATAAACAGGGCTTCCCTACATTGTATCTCTCCATCTTGTTGTTTTTGTGGGCCTAAAAGCAGCAACTAATTTAAATACTTCGGGTCCCATGTTTCTGCTTGTTAATATCTTTTAGAATCTGATTACATTATTCCCATCACCCAACAGCTTCAGGTCATCTACCAACACAAATCTCCATCCTATGTCTGTATCCAAGTCTATGATAAAATGTGCTGGACAGAGCTCTGTGGCTCCCCATTGGAAACTGGGTTGCCTCTGATGCTTAAACAGTATCTCTGGGTGGTCATTCAACATCTATCACTCCATCATTTTACATTAGCAACCACCTGATATTTCTCTCTCTTGTCCACAGGAACAACAGGAAGGCTTTGAAAATGAAACACACTGTGGAATTTGGGTCTACTGGATTACCACCATTTCCTGACATAATAACGGTCAAAAAGTGATCTAAAAGCCAATATTACTTGCTTTGTTCTCATTAATTCTAGGCAGGCTTCTTGTGGTCATTTTGCTCTCAGTGTTTGCCCAAGATTGGTTATAGACTCATTTCCCCAATTTTTCACAATTCCTTAAAAGCCATAAACATGATTAAGCTAGTTTTCTCTCTATACATATCCTGGGTGCATTTTATCTAGGTCAGAACACAGCAGCGTCTTCTGATCTTTTCACTAAGCTTTGCTTTCTGCTATTTCTTGCCTAATTTTATTGTATCCTTTTCAATATGAAGATCATTTTCCTTCATCATGAAGTCAAAATTAAACAGCAATTGAAGGACATGACTTTTCTCTGAGTCATTCCTCAACATTGCACTAAATGGTGACCCCTTCTGCCTTGTTCTTCTTTTTGCCCCAATCGTATTTTAAAAGGGCCCCTTCTTCAGTTACTGCCTGCAGTATTATTGTTGTTGTTATTGTTATTGTTACTACTACTACTACTACTACTATTTTTGGTAAGAATCATGGGCAATCAGCTCTCCTGACACTCTTCAAGTTTGAGCCATTTCCCTACATTTATTGTAGGTAACATTCTCTTTAATCTCTGCATATGATTTTTCAAAATCCGAGTCCACTGAGGGGAACTTTCATAAATGCCAGTTTGTACTTTTCGGAGCTTTCTAGCCCTACTCTCCATCTGGTCAAGTGGCTTAAAGTAAATTATTCCACTGATAGCACTTCCCCTCTTTCTATTTACCCTCATCCACATTTTCCTAGACATAGTCCTCTTCCTAGTAAGACTGTTTTTTTGGATATGATATACCCTTCTCATCACCATATCTGCTCTGAATCAGATGAGGATTCAGCAACAATTTCACAAGTATTTAACAAATATTTGTAAGTGTTCACTACATGCCAGGCACTACGTCTTGAGGATTTCTGTAAGCATAGATATAATGCTCTATGTCAGAACTTTTGGTACACTGTTTTATGACCCTGCTGCATCCCTGGATAGGTGGACACTGGAGGCCATAAATAGCCTTTCTGGTCCTCCTTCAGAGTGCTTCCTCACATGGGTCACAAGGCATTTCTGGTACCTTTAGTAATTCTTCCATGTCAGATCTGACATTCTCTGTAGCAAGGTTTCAAGGATTTATCTGGGTGTTTTTCATCCACATTCAATTCAAAGTTGAATTTGTTGAGGAGGACTTTGCCATTTTTGTAAAATGCCATTTCTGGCCCACTAGGGTTGAAAAATCCCATAATAAAAAATGTTTTAAAATAGGAAACATGCACCCATTATATTCATCCTGCACTTGTGGTCTGTGGTTCTTTAACAGTCCAGCACCTGAGAATCCCCTGGAGATCTTGTTAAGAATGAAAGCAGGGATCTTGATAAAGGCTGGGGATGTGCACCTTTACAGGCATCCAGTGGTGGGGACACACAGTCTTGGCCTCATGGATCAGCAGTGTTGGTGCCGGCTGTCGCCTGTGCTTGCCCCTGCTAGCCTTTGGCCTCACACCACCAGGACTTGGATTTCTTCTGTCTTGATTGTCTGTGTTTCTCCAACGGGTGGGTGGGTGGCTTCAGCCATGGGCTGCAAGTAGATTCTTTTTTGCATCAGCCACAGGGAGTATTCTTAGTGTTCCGTGCTCCAACTGCAGAGGGACTGGTTTTCTTTCATGGCATGGGTCTGTCTTCATTATCCACAGACTGTTTGAACTAAGTTACTTTCCTTATTTCTTCTTGACACAATTTTGAGAATTTCTAGCTTCCTGGAGCTCCATGTTTTCTGGTTTCCACTTGCACACTTCCATCGCTTTCTCTTTTAACTATTCATCCTCTCAGAGAAGTCCTTTTTTTTTCTTCTCCATTCCATTAGCTCCTACAAATATGTACTTATTACTGGCAAATTTTGCCCGATTATTATCAATGCTCTCCAAAAAAATAGGTTGTAAACCACAGGCAGAGGGTGAAGAAAAATCTCCATGAATTTTAGGGAATTGTTTTCTTTTCTGTAAAGACCATTCCCTCACATAACTGCAGAATGTGGGATGTGTCATTGATCCTAGTTTAAAGGCTTCACTACAGTCCACACCTTTGGCCCAGGGCACCCATATCCCAGCATTTACTATGGGTGGCTAGACTTTAACTAAACACAAAATATATGTTGGCATTCAGGAACTTAGTACTGCTAAGACAACTGCAAAACATGCCTCTACAGATCAAATATGCAGAGTACTTTAAACTTAAGTTAGAAATAGACATGACTAGCTCTGTAAAAAAACTTAGAAACCAAAAGGATCATGAATGAACAGGTCAAGTCAAACAGTAATTTCCAAAGGCCCTCTTCCTGGAGATGGGTCCACAGGAGTATGAACAGGCCCTGGTGGCCTTCTTCCCACACCCTAGCCTTCCCTTATCTTCTTCCTCCTTTCCTACATCCCTTCAAGCTTAGTGTCGGCACTTTCAAGTGATTACCCAGTAAATAACTTTCAGGATTCTGCTTATGAATATGTAGAGAAATGCTCAGATTTTTCCCAGCTGTCATGCTTACTGACTTTGAAATGGTTCCATTGGCTGGGGCCCCATCATAGCTCATGTACTGACAAAGATCCGACAAGATCTGATTTGGCCTGTAAAACACTCATCATGTGCTGCCTGTGCCACTGACCTCCTGGCGGGTGTGGGCTGTCCTTTGTTCTCCATTCTTCAACATAGGTTCAGGCTCCTAATTTCATTTAACCACATTGGAGCTATGAAATTTAGTAGGTACATATGGGGGCAGGGAAGAGAGGTGATGGGGAAATCTAATTTACTGCTGCCATGACTACAGATGTGAAACAAATCTATGAGTCTGTGATGGATCAATCTTACTAAGGCTGGATTTAAATTATTAATAGTGGTGAGAAATTCAGAGTTTCATCCCCAGGATTATAAAGTGAGGGTCCTTTGGGCTTAATTGAGTAGAGGATTAAGGTGCCCACTGAAACCTTGCCAGGCTTTCCCTTCAGTGTCTCCCAGTTGTGGCCACAAAAGTTCACACTAGGCTGGCTTTGACTGTTCTTGAGTCAAGGTTGGCTTTGACTGCACACTGAGACAGAGAGTCTGGGGTGGGCCTGAGCTGCACTTACCATTGTCCACATCATTATCTTGATATGGCCCATCACCTTGGGGAATGGGTCTGTAATTTGGGAAGGAAATGGCCTGTGTCCATGAGGGAAATAGGGTCCGTGTTCACACAGAAGAAGAACAGGAAGATTAATGAATAGACAGAAAAAGACTGCAGAAGGTAATTGGGTCAGTACTTTGCTGATGCTTTTTCTCTGAGGGCAGTCTGGGATGGAGGAACTTTGCAGCAGGACTAGTAGAAGAATTTAACTGCTTACCCAAAATGCAACTTCAAATGACACAGGAAGTAGTACATCCCCTTAGCATGAGAACTAATACTTGAGCCCTGATGTTTCACAAACATGGAATGCATTCCTCTCCCAACCCCCAGGGAGCCTTGCTATGGGACAGGCAGCAGGTACAGTTCCCCTTACCCTTGGTCTCATAGAGCATTCTGTCTGTGTGCCCTGGTCCTGCCAGGACAGAGATTCTCTATTATCCTTCATGAAGGATGTAGAAGGCTATGTGACCTGGTAAGGAAACTTGCTAGCAGGTTTAGAGGTGGGAGGAGAGACAGTGGAGGTGGTCACCTGAGAGATGCCAGCAGGTGGGCTTCTGTCAGAGGGGAGCACAGGATTCAGTCAACTTCCAAACAAGGGCCAGGTAGGAACCCAGAGCCGTGGTCTGCTGGGAAACTGGGGTGGTGTTGGCTGCTCTCCAGCTCCTCTGAACTTCTGCCCATCCCAGACAGTGGATGCCACAGGGTAAAAGGGACCAGATCATAGATCACAGAAAACAGGCTTGTGTGCCATTTTGGGTAGCAGAGCACCATGTTACCAAATGCTGCTTCACTTGCAGTGGAAGAATCTGTGGGTGCCTTCAAAGGACAAAGGGCCAGGCTTCTATAACTGACCATCCAATGTTCCAGAAACATTCTGTCTTTTCTGGTTCATTGCCCTGATCATTCCAGTTGCCCTTCCTGCCTCATAACTGCCTCAGACACAGTGGAAAAAAATACCAAAGTGTATGTCACAGTACCTTAACATCAAGCCCTGAAGTCTGTCCCCTCTGGTCTTCATACTACCAACACCACCACCATCATCAAGAAAGGTTTCTTCAGGGCCTGATGTCAGGGTTTGGGTGTGGGTACCCAACCTCCTATCTGGTAGCTCAGGATGAAAAGGGACTACCCCAACACACCGACTCACACCATGTCTTTCCTTAGGAATCTTTGACTTTTAACTGGGGGCAAGAAAATATAATTCAAAGGGATGAGAAGAGTCTTTGGGGTGCTCTGGGCCTGAAGTCATCTCATGTAAACCAGCTCAAGTGTTGTAAGGGAAAATGCCCAACATAAAAATAGGCGGTAACTATGGTTGGTGGAAATACATAGACTTTGATGTCCGATGATCTGAGCTTAAATCTTGGCTCTTGCATGATAGTGGAGTAACTTTGGATACTTTACTAACTTCTGTGCCTTAGTTTTTGCACCTTTTTGAAAATCATGCCTCTCCCATAGGTGAGGAAAAAATGAGGGTAGGGGCAATGTTGGCTGCTGTTATTCTTACAGGGGAACTGAGAAGTTCAGTAGCCCTTCCTAAGAGAGGCTGTCCCCTGCCTGCATCAGGGTTCTTTGACGCAGGAACAGGGAAGGGATCAGGGGCTGCAGTCTGCAAGTGTGGGTGAAGCAGTTGAGGCAGAGAGGAGGGGCTGCTCCTTCTAGCCTGGAGACACCACCAGAAAGCCGTTCTCTTTCAGTGTCTGTGGGTGTTACAGGCAGGTCTTGGGCCTCTTCAAGGGCCCTGTGGGTGAGCCTGGGTTTGTGCTGCCCAGTGGGGTGGGACAGAGCCAGGATGAGCCATTGAAAGAAGCCCCAGGGTCAAGTGGCAAGATGCTTGGGTCCTAGTCATGTGACTGTAGGGATCAAGAACTAGTAGACACAGGTGAGCCTTTTAGGCAAGTGTCAACTCTTGCCCTGCTCCAGGCTTCAAGGAGAGATCAGGAGCCTCCTGTGGACTTTATTCTTTTAGTGGGATAATATCTGTCCTACCCTATCCAACAGGTGTCCATTGGGACCCAAGGAGATAATGCAGATCCCCAGGAAAGGACCATGAGAAGTCAAAGCTGCCAAACAGACACGGGGATTATACTTAAGGTAATGGTGGCTCTGGTCACCTTCATCTTTGTGTACATTTACTTAGCACCCTCCCTGCCATGACTGCCCCAGTCTGGGATGTTGCAGGGCCTTCTGGGGCACATGCCAGGGCTCTGCTGTGGCCTCAGCACCCACCAACCTGGGCCAACTCCAGCTCCTTGCTCCATCTGCAATGGGGAGAGTACAAGGAGGACCCACTGGATCCCACATCCTAAGGAGCTTTCACGGTCCCAGGCCTGCTTTGGCAGCTGCTTCAGAGTGGGGAAGGGGCCTGTCATATGTTTGGGGGACCTTCAGGACATGCATATGGAGAGGGAGAGGAAGCCTTCTTATTTATAAGGGATCCATGAAACTCTTGACTTGAACCCACTCCCCTTTCTTACCCCCTTTCTTAACAAACATGAGTTTAACACTGCTTGCCAAAGGGGTTTGTGAAGGGTTCATTCTCTCAGCAACTTTGTGTCGGGAAAATCCAAGGCCTGCCTGAGCACTCCAAGGTTCAGACTTGAACTCTGGGGACCCAAGCCAAAGAACACATGGATAGACCCAAGTAAGGCCCTAGGACCTCTCTGATTGCCTTGTTTTCCTAAGGGCCTTGGGAACAGAAAACCCAATCAGCTAACTATGAAAAAAGGACAGGACAGGTAGGTGTGTTTGGACAAGGAATCATGATTCTCATTCTATGTGTGCTAAGTTCCCATGTGGTGGCTCGTGGACTCAGAATGGAGAGGGACAATGGTCCTCAGCCCTTACTTAGCATATCTTGTGTGCTCAACACTGTTCTAAGTGGCCCCATGAGTTAATATTTGTTTAATTCTCACCACAGCCCCATGAGGATGAAGCTCACTAGTGCCATATTGCAGGTAAGAAAGCTGAGGCACAAGGATATTAAGTGTTCGCCCTATGGCACACACATGGTGGGTGGAGGAGCTGAGGCTGACACCCAGGCAGTCTGGCTCTTCTCAAGCACAACCTTCCCAGTCAGTGGTCACTTCACTCAGGCCCCTTCACTGGTGCATTGCATAATACTCTGTGAGTGTCAGTGACTGAGGTGATGGGGGCCTTTGAAAAGCCAGTCTCTTACACATCACCTTAATGGGGTGTGATCTTTTCAGATCCATGTTTCTGTGCCCCTGGAAGTGTGAATCATGGAATGAGGTGGCAGGCAGAGAGCAGGAGTCGGGGGCTGGTCTTGCCAGGTCTAAGAACACCCCTGCATGGAGCCCTGAGCGCTCAAGTCGTGATCTGTTGCTTTCCAACGCAGCAGAGCTGGGGCTTTATCCATGCTTTCACCATGACCAAGTGGCCTTGTGCTTTCATCATATATAGTATCAACCTGCTTTCCAAGTGGAGAGAAATGACCATCCTTTGAGAAGGGATTGTAGGGGCTGAGACTCAAGGACAAGGACTGTGGATCAGTATCCCACCCCACATTTAAGAAATTTTTATAATTTATTCCACAGGTATGTTATTGACCATCTAGTGTATGCCATGCCCTAAGACAGTTTAATGAATACTCACTGAATGATCATTTAGACCTTCAAAATATTCCTGTGCAAAGATCGCAACTTACTTTGGGCATTCATTAATCTCCTTAGCACTAGCACATGAGCCCTTTGCTGTTTCCCCAGTTCAGATGCAGTACCCCCTGCCCTTTCATCTCTGTAGTTCTGGGTGCCATGGCTCTGAGCTTGGGACCTGTCCCTCATCTTGTGAGTGACTGAGTGGCAGAGGGGAGCAGTAGTGATAGGTCCTTTGTATGTGACTTCCAGAAGATTTCACCCTGACTGATCTCCTCCTTCCTCAGGGGACATGCTCCCTGCACCTCCTTCCCCTCCCCCTACTCCCTGTCTTTGGAAATCTAAAGGCTCCTGAAGCATCATCTGTAAGTGTAAATTTCCACCTGATTTATCTAAAAAATAAAATTATGACCTTGTATTAAGATTAAGCAGTGTTTGTGGTGAATAAGTCACCGTGAGTTCTACTGGGGAAAAGAAGAGAAAGACAATATTGGGAAAAAATGAAACCATCTTTCTTCCAAGGTAAAAAAGTGTTGCTAAGTATGTGATGCTGGGATTGGGGTGGAGAGGCTCTGACTTATTTATTTTTTATTTTTACTGTTGCTTAGTGTTGTCTCTCTAAATGGTTTCCTTTAGAAATTATGAGGTTGTAATTTTATAAAATCAAAGAGAACTCGAGAAGATAATTTTCATGCAGTCACAATTCTGGAATTCCAAGTTTGCTGTGTTACCCTTTTATTACAGGGGCTCTCTGTGCCACAGGGTGAAAGGTATCTGTACAGGAGAGGCAACTGAGGTTCAGAGAATATAACAACTACAAATTATTTTTAATTTTGAAGAATCTATTTATGTAATTTAATCACCTGTTTTCCTTGAATGATGACATCAAGAATTTCATGTACAATTTCATGTATAATATGCCATCAATTCTAGTAACAGAGAATGATGCAGTAGAAATAATAAAGAAATGAGAATCAGAAAATTTGAACTTGAAACTTAGATGCTCAACACTTACACTTAGTTTACTCATGTGACAGAATATTAGTGAGGATTATTACTTGCCTATTAAAATGATGTCGCTAAGAATCAACAAAAGCAAATATTGAAGTCACAATACTAAGTTACAGAAGTAAAATGCAAACTTGTATATATAGTATGTTTAAAACAAGAAAAGCAAAACAACAAAACAACAAAACAAGAACCACTAGAACCCAATATGAAAACACTAAGAATGGGAAGCACAGATTAAAAATCACTAAAATATGAACCAGCTTTATTTATATTTTGATGTTGATAGGTTGGGTGATGTTTTCCTACTTTTCAAATTTTCCATTAAACATGAACAAAAGTAGATTTTATTTCTCTTTACGTCCTCTTCTGAGATTAAAGTATGCACACAATTTATTAAAAAGCAGAAAAATGATGGAAATAGAAACAAAAGGAGAAAAGAAAGTCATCAGAAGAAAAAGAGTTTTTCCTGGCTTTTCTAATTATTTTCCATAACCTTGGGGTAGTCACATACCCTCTCTCTAACTCCAGGTTTCTTGTTTGTGAAGTGGGAGCTAAATAATGGCTGGGAGAATTAAAGGAGACAAAAATTATGAAATATACTATATATACCGTATGCTGTTGGGCTATGCTCCCAAACTTCTTCAGGGCAAGAAACACACAGAAAATGATGCTTTTTGTATGGGAGCAAGATGAAGGCTGGGAGTGACTAGTCCTGGGGTTCAGCATCTCCCTCCACAAGTTGCTGATTCAAGCCACACTGGTTGAGAAGCTCTGCCACAGTCTGTGAACTTTCTCGCTTGACAAGTTGGCTGGCTTTCCCATCCCTTTTCAGTATATCTTGTATCTTTCTTCTTAAATACACAATGTCTAGGTTGTAAATGCTCACCAGAAAACCAGCTCTCAGTTGGAAATGGTAACTAAATTATAGCATTTAGGGGAAACAGCATTTGGAGCTGCTGAAGAGGAGCTATCAAGGGTAAGTAAAATCAAATCCAGCAGAAACAGAATTCATTTTTAGAAGCTTTTGGGTTCTAAAAAACAAGAAGGACCTCATTACAGTGTGTGTTCATGTTCTATGACAACATGATAGTAACTTAGATCATGCTTCTCCCTTCTAGGCCCTTATTGCACCTTGTGAGAATAGAAGAGTATTTTTACATCTTACAATTAATTGTATAGTGTGGGAAAGCTTGCACAGCACTTTCAGATGTGTTCTTTAATTTAATTAGCTGTGAAGAAATGTATTTTTACACATGGAGAAACAGAAACTTAGAGAATATAAATGTCATACAGGCCAAGGTCAAAGGCCCTACCACGTGCTGGATCTTCTGACTCTGACCTCACATCATTTATACACGTTTTTACAAAAAATATTTTCTACATTCTGGGGAGGTCAGTCATATATGGTTATTAGTTATTCAGCAGCAATCGATGCTGAATTTATATTCAAGTTACTCATTTAATTTTATCGGGTTTCCTCAGAAACCATCGGGAAAAGAAAAGAGGGGGTAGAAGTAGTTAGTTGTCCCTCCCCTAATTTTCCAGTGCAGTAGGAGCCCCTGAAATATACCTGACTCAGGATAGTTGGGTTGGGGGCACAAATTCCTTGCACACTCTATCAGGGGTGTCCAACCAGCAGGCCATGGCCCGTATGCAGCCCAGGATGGCTATGAATGTGGCCTAACACAAAACCATAAATTTACTTAAAACCTTTTTTTCTTACTAATTTTTGTTAGTGTTTATGTATTTAATGTGTGGCTCAAGACAACTCTTCTTCCAGTGTGGCCCCAGAGATACCAAAAGTTTGGAAACACCTGTGGGCTCAATACATCTTCTCTTGTCTTTGTTATGTCCATTACACAAAATGGGCAAATGTGGCCAAGGAAGGAGTGTAAACTACCCTTCACAAGTCAATGGTAAGGGAATGTAAAATACATAATAGTAATAGTAATAATAATAATAATAATAAATGGCTTACACTTAAAGAGGCTTCAAAGGTTATGTTCCTGGCATAGCTCACAATACCTCAAGTTATTAAACTCCTTTAATTCTCACAAACATCTTATAAGGTAGGCCAATTGTTATTCATAATTATAGTTAAGAATACCAAAGCAGAGAGGTTAAGTAACTTGCCAACCTTGTGTATCTAATAAGTGGAAGAGACATGGCATTAAAACCTAGGCAGTCAAGCTCCTGAGAGGAAGAAAAGAGCTCTTTGTGAAAGACTTTTATATCTGTCACCAACTAGATAAATGGCACTTATTCTCTTCCTCCCACACATGATCCTGTGGCAGACATCACTAACCTCCTCCAAAGACCAATCTGGAATTACAACTAAGTTGTAGAGAAATAATCCCGAATAACCAGCTGAACACTACTAGCTGGAGAAAAGCCTTCTAACCACGGACAGATAGAAGAAACCACTTCACCACAACATCACTGGTGGGAAGTGTGGAGGAGGTGCAAGAGGGCTGGCTGGGCTCTCACGGGTGGCAGCTGATGTTCTGGAGGGATATTTCAGCAACTGGGGCATCCTCCCTAAGAAGTGTGGGGTCTAAGTTCCAAGCTGCGCTCCTCGGCCTATAACAGCAGAGCCAGAAAGGAACTCAGATAACATCCAGTTGTGAAAAGCCATGGGGTTTCTGTCTGCCAGGGAGAGATGGATGGAGATGCAGAGAACCTCTTAAAGGTTCAACACACAAAGTTCCATTTGCAGCCACTTACCATGGGTTTAGGCAGAGAGAGGGCAGAGTGGACTAG